ATGTTTATTTTTATTTGGTAGAGGTTTATAAGTGAATTGGGAATAACCCTCATTGACATAAACAATTGCTAAATCTTTTTCGTATAATATAATGCTTGTTTAACCATCAAATTCAAAGCATTCAAGTATATTTCTTTTCATCTCACTTGGTTTTCGTCGCCTTCAAGTTGATTTAGAGAATATAACATTTATTCAAGTTCAATTTGACAGACTAAAAGACACAAGAAGTAGGAGTAGGTCTATCTAATTTCTTTCAGTGATTCCGAATATGACATATGTTTTGGAGCAAATCCTTTGCTCGTAACTGACACAAGATAAATGCCAGCTAGAAGCAAAAATTTTTACATCATAGGCTATGCGCGTCTGTATATAATAAATGTTCATTTGTTTTGAAACTCAAAAATACCAGTTTTTATAGCTATAGAAAAAAGCTATCGAATGCAATATGTTACAAAAAAAGATACATTCCATTTTCGAGAGAAAAACATCTCGAAAGGTATCGTCGCATCTCACAAATATACGACTCTCATATCATAAGAGATGAGATTATAGTTCCACAAATCTCTGAATATGTTGGCATTTATTGATCGTTAGATTCTCTAAAAAATATGAACCTTGATGAACCGCGTGACCGCTAGCAGGAGTAGTATTTTGTAAGTATCCGTGAGTCTAATATACATTACAGTGATCCAACGAGTTTATCACACGAGTTTTGGCCTGCAATAATACTTTCGTCCGACGTATGATTTGACTAAACTAAAAACTAAGCGTCTAGTAGAACAATTCGATCCATTAAGTACTCCTGTTCTTTCCCCATCATTTTGTATTTCTCATAGACTGTTCAAAATTGCAACAGAAATGGGCAACTCAAATTCACCACCACTACCTCATTATAAGGTGAACATTCGTACAAGAAGCGGAAAACAATTTACTATATCGTCGGATGATTTATTTGATCATGTTCTACTACTTCGTCAAGTAATCGCCCATCCTGAAATGTCTCAAAGAGGACACATATTGGATAGAGTTATTAATGATTACTGTAGACGCATGTCTCTTAATAAAATGCAAACACGAGACACCCAATCAATGTTACCGTGGCAAATCCACTGGATCTGGCATATTCATCGTCTTCATCCGATTGCTTATATCCGAGACTGTGTTGAACAATTGCCTAACAAACAAGTGGTCCAAAAACTATATGAAAGAAGAATAAATCAACGACATCCCACATATGATTTATATCTCTCGCTTAAATTACCCAGCAGGAACCCATGCTTTACTCCATCGATCGACTTAGAAAGTGCTGTAATTTCTCAAACTGAATTTCTTCAGAAATTCGAAAAGCATTCTCTCTTTTCAATGGATTTACAACAATTCGATCGCAAGTCCTTCGAACAAATGGTGCAAAACTATGTTTCATTTATGAAATTAGCCATTGAAGGACAAATGATCGTACCAACATTTGATATTGATTTAATGTGGCATGCTAGCATGAATAATCCATCAGAATATGAAAAAATATCAAAAGCTCTTTGTGGCTTTCTCCTTGATCATAATGACTCGATTGATAAACTCACTCTAGAGAAGGCTTATCAAGAAACAGCTGCTCGATGGAACAATGTTTATAAGATAGAATACGGTCAGAATATTGACAAAAGTTATTTAAGTACATCAAAATACGTTGGCAACTGCGCAATGATAGTCGCACCAATATTATATACAAGTGCTGCTAACCGTGGAAAAAGTGGCACAGGATATGGTGGGGGTGGTGGGGGTAGTGCAGGATGTGGAGCAGCATGTGGCGCTGGGGGAGCATGTGGCGGTGCTGGAGCATGCGGCGGGGGTGGAGCATGTGGCGGTGGTGGAGCATGTGGCGGGGGTGGAACAGGTGGCGGTGACGGATCATGTGATGGTGGCGGTGGGTGTGGTGGCGGATGTGGTGGATGTGGCGGTGATTAATATATTTCTTGAGACAATAATGCAAACCTATAAATGAATGGTGCTATGGAAATTAAGATTGGTAAATTTAGCTTGGACTTAAATTGGATATCACGTGAAAAGTGGCTTTGAAATTTTTTTTTGTGATTTCACTCTATTTTCGATCGTTGTCTAAAATTCTCTCGAAATAAAATATAATTGAATGCTTCTGAAGAAAATTTCAATGGCCATTAAATAACATTGCAGAGAATCACCGAATAACATTGGATATAACTCAGAATGATGTAAATGTGACGAATTTCGGTTAATGTTTACGTCATATAGAGTGGTTTGCACACAGCAAGTCGTTCAAGAATTGCAAAGGCACGCTTTTAGAAATCTTCAGCTACCATTTCCCATCGTGTGTAGTCAGCATAGCCATCAACCTACTCTTCTGTCTCCATATATCGTATTTTGCAAGGCGTGAATGCGTAGTGTCAGTGAAGAGTCCCACATTCAGATTCGTGCCCGCACCCTGCAATGTATGAATTGAACACTACCACCTTCTGTTTTCTGGTCGAATGCGGCGAACCACTCAGTTACATAATATGTGATAGAATCTATTCTTTGTTTGAAAAATCCACTATTCGGGCCACTAGTTACAGTCATCTTCACAAGCTTTTGTCTGGAAAATATTGCCGATCAGAGTCTAAGAATCAGTTTACACTAAACTACCCTTCTAAAAAGGATCAAGAGGCAACCAGAGAGACTAGAGTAGATATGTGGAATAATGGAAAATGCATACGTCAGTTCGTTGAATGCAATTCGGCCGAGGAACGATAGCAGATCCGATTTTATCATAGTTGAATATAAATAGCTAGAAAACTCAGCACATTAGACTGAAATTCTGCGAATTTCTTTTTTTAATTTTGTTGAGAAAAAGAGTTTTTTGATCGTAATTACACGATAGAGAGGATAGGTAATAGTGTGAATAAGAGAGAAAGCACCTAAGATCTTGACAAGGTACTAAAAAATCGTCCGCAAAGATCTATGTTGGATTTGGTGGTGTTCTTAAAATGAAGAGCCTCATATTTCATTTTGTAGGGCAGCTCACAACGTATCGATTGTAACATAGGCAATTGCATTTTTATTAAACTTTGATGCCATGAGACTTTGCATATCTATTGATGAGTATTGTATAGTGTTTTGGGTGCGACTGTGGATTGGAGTTTGGACATAGGTATGAGTGAAGATGTGGGTGGGTATTTTCTCTTAAGGTATTAGCCACAATGACTGATACATACACACCCACTATAGCCACCTACATCCACATGAAAAAGTTATTTGCAAATCGAACAAAACAGTATCGAGTTCAACTTCGTCAAGCGTCTTGTATTTTGTTTGAGTGTGCACTGAAATCAACACTGTCAACTTGCTCAATCAATTGCGAATTTGTTTAAGCTTACTCTCGCTTATGTAATATACTTTCAACCCTTCCTGCTACTCGTGGCGCCGTCGTTGGAGCCTTGTTCTTCTTCTTATATTCGCTCAAATTAATACGACGATTATCGTTCTCTCAATTGTTGTTTTTATGAAGGTGTCAATGACTGGAGTGTTTCTGTTGATGCGGCTGCGCAATCTAGTGATCAATGTTATTCAATTATTTCAACTGCCATGCCATGAAAGTTGGAGTTTTCTTTACCAACAAGAAAATAACCGTTGTACGTTATTTAGATCAGTCTACAAGTGTACAAAGATATTCTACATTCTATATTCTAATTCAACGATATAAAAAGAATATCCACAAGATGCATTCATAATGAACTTAGATGGACTGCTTTGAATTGTATTTGAATGAAGAACAAGATGAATCTTGCTATATTTAGTACAAGAATTTATCGTCTTGCACATGCTTTAAAGAGTGTTAGATTGTCTGTCTTATAGCTTAGTTTGTTCATTTTTTTTTCAACATTTAGTAAATCTCTTTCACTAGTCAAATCAATGAGTTCTCTTCAAGAGAAATCTTCAGATTTTCCAAGTTCAATGAACAATCAATGCGATCATTAGACTTATTTTGAATGTCGCGCAATGCACCTTGTCATTTGATGCGACTTGTCAGGATCTGGTAGTAGAACTTCAATATTTTCTATTGAAACCATGTGTAGTACAATGAGAAACTTGGTTCCAAATGCGATGTGTCACACGTTGAATCGATAAGGCGAATCGAAGCTTTGATGTATATCTTTGTCAACCACAGTTTTCGACAATCGATCAGAAGTTTCACAAATGAATTTTGATCAGATAATATCGAGAAAATATTATATCTTGGAACAACTTGATACGATTTAAATTTCAATTCTTGTTTTGTTGTTTGACATTCGAGGGTTCATATCAATCGGTGGATCGACTCGATCGATACTTTTCTCTTCTAGCCACGCATCAAGTCATTCAAGGTGATAATAAAGCATGGATCCACGAAGTTTGATTTATGAGTCCAAATCAACATATTCGAACCTTTCGTACAACTAATAAAGACTTTTTCTTCATTATGCACATTTATGTTTCGTCTTGGATTTCTTGTTCACTCAATTATAAATTCTGAATATACGGGTCAATCGATCAAATCAATTCAGACATGTATAATAGTGAATTATGGTTTGTCAAATAGATTCAAGAGTCAATTAATAATATAGCTCAACACAATCATGATGATTTTACAATTAATCAAAGGAGATTATTGAGTCATTATTCAGCTGAAATCGACATTTCGAACTTCTATCTTTATAGAATGTGAGTGTCAATTTGAAAAAACGATATGGAAAAAGAAGAGTGCATCATGTTGATGAGATCAGATAAACGGATTTAGCATGATGTTCATCAAAATAATAGAGAATGCTTTATAAAAGTATTGTTCAAAGATATTCTAATGGAAACTAATTGGTCCATAAATTGTAGGCCAACGGTTAACCCGGTGGAGCTAATGATTCCATTTCTTTCCGATTCATCACCAGCAAATCGAATAGTTTATTCTTTCGCATCATTAAATCAAGAACAAGTTAACATTTTCGTGGGCAAGTTATCTGATTATTATCCTTTTGTTTCTCATTTTATGCTGAATGATAGCTATGCCGTTATTGCATTGTATTAATTGGAAATACAGGGTGGCCCAAAAGTTACGCTACCGAAAAAAAATTGAATATCTCCGTTACGACTTGAGCAAACGAGTTGAATTTTTATTAATGATAGAGGCATGTTCAAGCTTTATATCCATAAAGACATGTCTAGAGTGGCCTTTTATCAGAGTATCGCTATTGCTCTCAACAAAAAAATTTTACTTTTTTACAGATGGGGAAAAAAACAATATATTTAACCAGAGGGTCTCTCTATGCATGTCTTCATGGATATGAAGCTTGAACATGCCTCTATCGTTGATAAAAAATCAGCTCGTTTGCTCAAGCTATAATGTAGAGATTTAGTTTTTTTTGGTAAAGTGACTTTTGCGCTACCCTGTATACTGGTTTTTCTTATTTGTGAAAAAGTAAAATTTTTTTGTTAAGGTCAATAGTGGTACTTAAAAAAGGTTCACTCTAGTCTTATCTTTATGGATATGGAGTGTGAATATGCCTGTACTAGTAGTAAAAAATCAGTCTGGTTGCACGAGCCATAACAGAGGTATTCGATTGTATCTCGGTTGCGTAACTTTTGGACTACTCTGTATTTGCTGAGATCAGGACCACAGACAATTTTTTTAAAGAGAGAGCCGAACTTCTGAGAGAGGAATCCATCACGAAGAACTAAAGCCCTCTGAATACATCCTCGATTGAAATTGATTAATTTTTTCTATAAAAGACAATTCTTTGCGTATTCTTTAGTACTCGATCCACAGTTGTTATCGTCTGACAAAAAGTAACTGTGTAAAAGAATATTAAACCATCCTGATCCTGCGAGGCATCCTGAGGCGCTTCGAAGTAGTCCTTCTATTTTACTCGTTTGTGACGATAAATTTCATCATTCAATGGTTACTACATTTAAGTGCCATTAGAATGAGTTGTAAAGAAAACAGAGTAAATGAATTTCTGTTATTCTGTGTGATTTGTTTTTTTTGGTAAGCAACGTGGATTCTTTCTTCACCTTTTCATGTTACCTTAGCAAATGTTAATTCTCGCAAACAATTCAGATGTAAAGTGATGTTTGTTTGCTTCCGTTAGAAAGCTTCATCATTGGATAGTTTTAAGATGTCCTCACAATTGCACGTGCTATTAGCGATTGCTAAAATGAAAACCAGATGTTACAATACATTTGCTTTGCAAAATAAAGCTTCACCATGTGCTTGTCAATATGAAATCAGTGTGAAAAATATGATTATTTTGGAGCAGTGCAGAGTGAATCGTACATCACATGTACGCTTTTCACATCGTTTCTCTCTACTATGACAATACAAGCAATTGATTGTTTGATAAAGACCAAGGTTAGGCGAGGTGTGCTGTGTTTATGTTCAAAAAGGCTAAGTGGAGAATTTATCTTTCTTCTAGGATGTTGAACGATTGATTGACCTGATTCTCTCTTCACTAGGAAAACGAGAAGATTACTGTGAAAGAAATTCATGATAATCCTATTTACTGATATTAACAACAGCCAGAGATTAAGATCTTCTAATAATCCTTATACTGGAAAAATTTTTGATTAATTGAATATTGAGAAAAATCATAAAATTCATATGAATTCACACAACTAGTGTCTTAGACCTAACGTGAATCGATTACAAAAATTAGGTGCCGTTATTTTATTGCATGTTATTGGAGCAGATGCGGGAAAGTCCCTGGCAATACTTCGACATAATGGAGTGTTATCACATTGAGCGGAATCTGTACTGATGATATTGACATCATATTTTCGAGTTTGTCTATATTTCTCGATAAGTTGTTGATCACCATAGCCAAGTAAAATACGCGTTATTAAGCCATTCGCAGCACTTTCAATTAACTTTTGTCTGTCTGTGAATGGATCCGATATGCATATAATCGATGTATACGGAAGATCTA